ATTTCGTAAAGAACCACGTAAACGTATTTCATGAAATGCGGTAGATGTGGAGAGCAACTCCTTCACATATCAACTGCAATTCTCCCTCTCCAAATCCGATGTATATCAATATCATACATGTGTAGGTACCCACTAGTCACTACGTTGTGGAGTGCGTACACTCAGATTTTTTGAAAGACGAGCAATATGAAATTTTGACGATATTCAGATCACGTTATATAGAGGTAAATATACTTTTATTGCGCTATATATATTAAATCATAAATATTTTATACAAAAAAAATAAGCCAAATGGAGGATATGTCATCACACGATATGACAGACACCCTCATCCCCCCTTGCATGTATATAATATATCTGCATATCGCATGTAGGTCCTTATACGCATAACATACATATTGACATATCATCGTACATTTTATATTGACATATTGTGTATAGAACGAAGTTACTAAATATGACGTTCATGCTACTAATTAATGGGTACATACATTGACGTATTGTTAAACATATGGTTTTTTTTTTCTAAATAATATTTGTTGTACCTATTCATTATTATGTATGTGTATACGGGTGAAGGTAAAGAGGCGAGTGTGCACTTCAATAAACACTCTGTTAAAATGAATTATGTGTTTAAATATTAACTATATCGATTACAATCATAGGCGCAACTAGACCTCTAAAACAGGGGGTGCTAAATATGGGAATGAACCACAGAGCCGTGGGGGGCTTTGCCCCCCACACCCCCTACACATGAGCCTGCAATGCTCGATAATTCAAAATTTTAAAACATATATTAACACACTTCACATAAATAAAATAAAATAAATTTATAATACTTTTTTTGCTAAACTTTCAGTAACATAAGGATACATTAAAATTTCATAATTTTGTTAGTAAATAACTTATATACATATAGTACATTTTAAATTGGCATAATTTTTCTAGGTTTCATACAATATTTATTTAAAATAATTTCAGTGTTAAGCTGATTTAATAAATCTTTTTCAATATTCAGCAAAGATAAATTGGTAAACCTTTGCTGAAGCATACTTGATCTTAACCAGTTTTATTATTTGCTTTATTATTATGGGAATATCCGTGTATGGAATGAATTAGAATGAATTATATTATAATTATATTATATTATATTATTGTAACTTAGTAAGTAGTAACTATATATATATATAATATAGAACTTATCAATTAATGTTTTTACTGTTTTTATAGGTATTGCGCAAGGTTTATCGTATAAATATGATAATAACAATACTCGTTTCGTGAAATGCTTCACCACACCTCCTGTCGAATATGAGACATTTTTCTTTTTTTAAAACAAGCTTGATTCAGATATAAGCGCTCACGAAATATAATTATGGACATTTCGAAATCATCATACTCTACCTATACTTCACCGTGAGATGTTTTATAATATTTTACTGCCAGAGGTTGTTACTGAGTAAATAATGTAGTTTCTACTGTGTACTTATCATTTGTAGACGTACAAAATATGTACAGTTTACAGTTGTGTATTTAAAACTAGACAAAAATAACAATATGCATTGTGCAGTCAAATCGTGCGATGGCTGGAATAAAATATTATATACCTAGGTCTTTTGAAATCACGGTAATCATCTGAATAGTAGGTAGGTTTATAATATACAACTTTATGAGAATACAAGATTGACAGAGTGGATTAATGTAATAGAGTCCTCGCAAAAATAAAGTAGGTAAGTATATATAGTGCCATAGTGATATAGCAATTAAATTAAAACTCACTAGTCTTGATCAATTAATGTTGCGAATCTGTTTTACGCTCAAACGAATATCTCGTCAACACAACTAACTAGTAACTACCAAGTATAAATTATGTTAAACTGCCACTTGGCATTGCCAGTAATAATAAAATATAAAATGGCAAAAAAATAAAACAAACACAATTAGGTCAGGCTTGGGTTCGTCACCGGTTTGCCCCATCGAATACATTATTATTATTATTATTCGTGTTTTAGTGTAATAAAATATAATAAAATGTACTTATACAAAATCCAAATATCTAGCACATATACCAACATGTATAGTGTATATCTATTATATACCTACCTAATTTGTGTAACAAAATTATATATTATTAGATTGAGATTATTCGTACTTTTATACCTGGTAGCTCGCTCGAAGATAATTGTTTACCAAAGTCGGCCGCCGAGGAAAAAAGGTTGGGCGCCATACTGTACTATACAGTAAAGGTCCCCACACACTGCCGCGGTGGCGGTGGCGGTGGCGGTAAAAAGAGTCCGGACACAATTCACCGCCACCGCGGCGGCACCGCCAAGACAAAAGAATTTCACCGCCACCGCTGCAGTGTGTGGAGACCTTAAGACAGTAATAAAACTGATGGACTTAAAAACCTATAACTATAATGGTACTCAGTTACTTATTGATATACTATAGGTATTATAATATGTTGTATGTATATATTATATGAATTTAGAACGTTTCTCCAGTGCCTTTTGCCCCCGATAAAGCGGAGCCCCCCCTCCCTCCGAGGACAAAATCCCGCCAGACAAAAAACAAAAATTTGCCAAATGCCTGCAATACGAAATCGGCTAATATAAATATTAAAAGCTATACGAGTACAAATTATAAATTCTCATATAAATATGAGATTATTAAATAATACAAGTAAAACAAAACATAACTTGTAGATACCTCTGATATCTACCTAATATTATCTACTCCGTGGACTGTGCAATATGAAAACTGCAGGAATGGTACCTACCTACATATTATTAATTATTATATAAATAGGCACTTATACTTTGAGGAATATATAATATAATTAATATTTAAATTTAATATCGATAACTGTATTGATATCACATTTAAAATTCGAGAATTAGTTTCAGCTTATACGAGAGAATCGGGAATATTTACACCCACTTAGGAATGACCCTTTATAAAGTGACATAATTTCTTACATCATATACTGTGTATGATCTAAGCATAATATTAATTGAGAATTGTTTCATTTATCAATGGGCGTATTGATAAACTCTTTTTCTGTCAATGTATTTACTGTCCTGTTTTGAAATATTAACAATATAAGTAAAAATATACTGATTGTTAAGCTTACACTTGGGCGATATTACCCACATGAGTTAAATTTAAAGCAGTAATTTTAAATGATAGTAAATTATAAATTATCACCAATCCGTTGATTGTATTTTATTAAATTATTAAATTATTAAATTCAATAGGTATACTAATCACAGGTGTATCATGTATAGAATCTGTGATACAAATAATAATAATTATAAAGTACCTAACCAAACCATGTAAGTTCCCGACTATTTATTTAAAATGAAAATACCTACCTAAATTATAAACTCTCACCAGTCTTTTATTTGTAAAATAATTGGATAATTATAATTTTAATTACGTAACAAAACAAGTTTATTTATATAAATCAACTGAACAAAAATTGTTTTATCGTTTCAGTAGTAATGTAAGCGTAATTTAAGTTCAATTTCAAGTGATCTCTCCCCCGCTCGCGGCTATGCTATACTTGTGCCGGTTGCAGTGAAATCAAAAATGGCGATCACGAACAGCTTATGCTTGGACTCCCGAGTATGGAGTAGACAATGTGCTGGGCTCGGTTCTCCCTCGACTTCATAGGGTTTTGACATTTTTTTTTACATTTTTTTTGAAATATTGAGACTTTTGGCCACTACACAAAAAAAAAATGATACGATAATTTATGTTAAGATTTTTTTTTTCGTACAGTGGCCCAGTCTCATTTCAAAATAAATGTAAAAACTCCATTGCGGGAGAACCGAGCCTAGTATTAATGGCAGCCCATTAATTTAAACAATCTTTAACAGTATTATTTATACTTTAATTATTAAAGTTTAATATACAGACACAAAATTAATGTAACATTACTTTTTTTTTAGACTTTTAAGTAGATGCCGAAAAATATAAATTTAATAATAGTTTTAAAATTGACAATTAATGGCGTTATATTGTATATTTCAGAAAAATATTAATTTGAAATTTGAATACAATGATAAGTACACATGTGTACGGTGAAGCGTCATATGATAGATATCTTAAGTTATGAAAATAACCTCTTGGGTATGTCTAACTTTTTATTTTTTTTACTACTGGCAAATCAACTTTTTTCTTAACCAAACCTACAGCACATTTTCTGATGCATCTTCAAAACTTTTCAAGTTTTTACTGTAATTTTTTATATTATAGCTATTTTATTGAACTATCAATTATACAATCAAACCAGAAATATACAAATTACTTTTAATAAATTTAAAAAAAGTAGAATTCTGTAGGACAATAAAATAAAAATTAAGTACCTAAATAAGGTGTTCTTTGGATTTATACTCAATTTCCTTTCAAAAATGCCCATTTTTGCCAACTTTTATCTATTTATTTTTAATTTAATAAATGCAGTTTGTACATTTCTAGTTTGATTGTATAATATGTTAGTTGATAGCTCAATAAAATGGCTATAAAAAAATAAATAAATAACAGTAAAAAGTTTAAAAGTTTTGAAGATGCATCAGAAAATGTGCAGTAGGTTCGATATGTTAAGAAAAAAGTTGATTTGTCCATAAACTTAAGGTACACTATAGTACGCCAGCTGGTCACTTAATCATAGGACACATTGTATTTAGAGATAGAAATCCTTACATTGTACAACACATTATGTACGTTTCTAGTGGATTCTTATATCATATTTTTTTAGAATACATATTTACTTCATTACTGTTGCACCTATATTAATCATACCTACTATTTTATAGCAAACTGTTTTTTAAGCAAAACATATTTTTGTTTATTACAGTTTTAGTAAGACATATAGCAATTTATTTAATCAAGATTATCGTTTTACCACATAATATAAATAACAGTACCTATAACAAAAATAAAATTTAAGATAAATTGAGATTTCTTATATAAATAAAAACATATTTTTAGAAGAATCATATTCTTTATGGAGCAACCAGTCTTGCTTGTTTATTATTTTTTTTGAACCATTCAACAGTGTCAGCTATAGCTGTATCCAAACTCGTAAATTTAAAGTTTGGTAACAATTTTCTAAGTTTTTCATTACTAGCAGTTTTTTTGATCTGGCCATCAGCAGCACTGGTGTCAAATTCTAAAATTCCTTGGAAATTAAATGATTTTGTAATCAATTCGGCTAATTGACGAATTGTTATTTCATCTTCCTCGTCCACTAAAAAATAATACAAAAAAAATTATTTTTATAACTAGATTATTTGCATAACTTAAATTTAAATTTTGTAAAACATACATTTTTAAAAATGTTTAACCATTATTAAATTATTTTTGTTATTTTTGTGGTCATTTATCGATGTTTACCAGTCATTTTAACATATTTTTTGAGTGGATTTTTTAAAGATTTTTTGATCATTAAGTTCCAGGCTCCTGTTATGTTTATAAAATATGTCTATTTTCATCAAATACCTGATAAGATGATAGGTTCAACATCATCATAATTCCTTAATGCCCAAACAAACAGCCTGGCAAGATCTAGTGAATAAATAAATTGTCGCAGAGGTTTTCCAGATCCCAGTACTACAAATTTATCAGCTCCTGAAAATTATGTAAAAAAACAGTTTCAAATAAGAAATTCCAGTTTACAAACAAACATTGGAAATTAAATTCAGAGTTACATTTAAAGTTATAAGTTATAACATTAATTTTAGCATGTATAGTATAACAACTATATTAACTTTATTATTATTTAATATTTGATAAAACAGTTGAATATATTTTTTTTAAATTAAAATTAGTAAATATGAAATACATACACTTAACAATAAATTGTTCTTCTGTATTTTTCTGTATGTTAAAAAAAACATTTACAGTAGTAATCGGTAGCTTAAGAATAATGTGTAGACTTGGACTTACTAAATATTCTGTTAGGTGTGATGTTATATAACACATTATGATAATAGAAATGGGATATAATTATACAGTTTCCGCTCAATACTCTAAATTAACTCTATGTCTCTACATATTTTATTCATCTGCTTATGATAATAACATTTATTTAACGAAAACTGTACATATTGTTGAAAATTATTGTATATTAGCATCGATAAAATAACACTATATACTTCGTTCCAAATAAGAGTGCACCAGGCGGCAGACAAAAACTGGTCAAAATTTGCACATCTATCCCCGCTGCATTTGGAGATTTCCTGTTTACCACTTTGCCCTTGGCCCCACAACGTTTATAGCCGATTAACGACGACCAACAGCTGAGCTAATATCCTTAGCCTGGGGGTCTGGACGTCGCTCTGCGATTCATTTGGATGTGCCAAGGCGGTGCGCTCTTATATGGAACGGAATATAGATAGGCAACGCTAATGTAATCATATATCGCTCATTATTTTAATTTGGATTTAACTCAGTAGTGGGGCTTTGAGCTGGAGGAGGTACAAAATAAGTATTTACTCAGCTCCTGTTTTTATACACCCCTAGAAGGCCAACTACAAATTAATATAGTGAACGATAACTGACTGCATTGGCATTGTCTATTCATAGTGTTATTTAATCTATTAAAGTAGTAAGTTTCTCTTTTAATAACTTACCTTTTTCTAGAGCTATGTGGAGTCGATGAATAAGAGCTGGTACTACATGGGCATTTTGCAAGTCAAAATTATCATGCGGTCCAAACACATTACATGGTACAACAGAAGTAAAAATTACCCCGTGTTTTTGATGGTATGCTTTATTAGCAATATCTAACAATCGCTTGGCATAACTGTAACCAAAATTGGATGGATGAGGGGGTCCATTATGAATCTAAAATAGATTGTATGAATACATTTTTTTTGTTTAACCGTTTTATATAATGTCATAATGTCTATTAATGTACAATCAATTTGACTAAAAAACATAGTGGTTGTTTAAACAATAAGCATATTATTACATTTCAATACAATTTAAATTAATAGTCCAGTTATGTATTTTTATGTTAGAAATATCATAATTTTAAGTTGCATAAAAATAACTTTTAATGAAAATTATATTAGGCAAAGTATTAGAATATATAATGGCCATATTGTGTGGTTAATTAGCTCATTAAAAGCCAAATATAGTTAGTTTTAATTTAAGCAATGGGAAAATTTTAGTGATGATTATAAGTTACAAATCACTATTTCGTTGATAAAATACTAATTATTTTAAGTGGGATTTATTATTTAAAGCTTAAACATGAGGTATCAATACTGATTTCCAATTAATTGAGAGAATCCATAATTGAAAACCTAAATTCAATTATTTGGATTCAAAACATTGGTTCAAACTATAGAATAAACGTAGTAATATTGTTTTTAATATTCAATATTTATCAAATAATAATAAAAATATTATTCAATTTTTTAAATCATCAATACAACTTGAGTTATTTTAACCATGCATTTTTGAATATCTAAATTTACTTTAATAGTTTCCAAATAATCAAAGTTAATAATGTTATATCTAAGCCATACAAAGTAATAATAATAATGGTACTAAACAATTATTTGACAATACTCATTATTTTAAAGCATAAATAGTATTTAGTTTCTATTATATTAAATTAAGATAATTCAAAATATTAAAAATAATAAATAACAATACCATAGTTTCATTTATTGGATATGATGTTTTGTCTGGAAATATACAAGTAGATAGACACGACACTACTTTTTTTACATTGTACTGAAAACTAGTTTCCAGTACATTGTCATTTATGTGTACATTTTTGCGCTGAAATAAATTAAAAATTCAACATTAATTTGTATTTGTATAATTTATTTATAAAATTAAAATTTGATATTTTATAATTTATACATTTAACTATATTATTTTTACATAATTATACCATATGATAATATACATTTATTTATATTGATATTTTTTTTTATAATATGAGAAAAGTGTATTGCAAATTGTAATTATTTAATTTATATTTAAAATTATAAGCTAATGGGCCACCGCATAAGCATATCCAGTGGGGCCATTACCTTCTTAAAGAATAAATAAAAATAAAATAATAAAATAATAATTATTGTATTATGTTATTTATTTAATATATTATCTTAAGTATAATTTTTAGATAGTAGGTAGATAGAAGTGTTATGCAAATTAAAAGTATCAAAACCAGGTTTAGAATATAAAATTTTTATTAATACTAATTTCATTAACTACCAAAAAGTCCAAATTGTTGTCCATATTATGAAATAGACCACCAACCATTGCCGCCAAATGTATCACATGAGTAGGTTTGTATTTTTCAAATAAATCTCTTGTAGCTTGTACATCACTGAAAAAATTTAAACAAGAATTAAAATTGTTCAAATATTATTATCTGTTATTCACTTGAGATCTGCCTCTTTGGAATTAGTGAATATCCATTTTTCATCAGGCAACGCTTCGTTTTGTGTTTCAACAATAGTCCTGATGGCGCTGCCCACTAGTCCCGATCCACCAGTAACTAAAATTACTTTAGCCATTCTGAAAACAATATATTATATTATTTTATATCAGTCAAAAACAAACGACCAAAACTAAGGTATATTAAACATTTAATTAGACATGTGACATAAAATTAAGACTGGAGCAAATGTTCGCAAACTTACATGTGAATTTGGTATCAAATTCCAAAATGCAATAGTTATGTCTTATTATGTACAGCTGGCTTTTGAGTTTTGAGTATTTTAAAATTAATAGATAAACAGATTACGTGCACACTTTTGAACGACATTCAATTGTTTACTTTTTAGTGTTAACTGTTACTTTTTAGTCTGATAGGAACCCTTATCATCTTAATAATGGCTGATAGTAACTAATGAATAATAATAAAAGTTATGTTTTGATTATTTACTATATTTTTAATTTTAATCATTAATCATTATTGCCTAATGTCTACTAATATTTTTTATATCTATTATCTAAATACTGATTACTTTGTTTTGTTAAAATTAATTTATTAATTATAATTATAGTTACCTACCTACTTTTTAATAATCTTGTTTAATGGCCAAGTTTGTGAAGGTAAATATAATATAATTGGGCATTTGGGCGTACACTGTACGGTTTAAACCTTAAATAAACATTTAAGAACAAAACATAATCCTATCATTTGATTTAAAGTCAAGTATAATTAAATATGTTAGAACTAATTAATGGTATGTTCATACACATATTTTACAAAATAATTTTTGCATCAGCAGGATTAATTGTAGGTAGGTACATTTAAAGTCTCACAACATTAACTCATAACATTAATATTGAGTCAACATTGTTGAATTTCAATACTATAGAAGCTATATTTATGTGTTATTACATTTTATATTTGTTAGTAATTATTTTATACTAACTTATTGTGTCTTATGTAGGTACTCTAGATTTGATTGAAAGTATTATTTTATAAATTTGTTTTTACTTTTGATGTGGTGTGTATTATTATTACAGTTTTTCGTTAACTAACTTTGTCTTTCACTATTATGCTCTGTTCAAAATAGGATGATGACCAGGTGGCGAACAGTGTTCGTTCTGCAACTGTCAGACGTGGTCTCCACTACAGCGGCATGTCGAGCGCCTCCACGGAAGATAGCCACACCCATGCGCACAACCCTGGTCATCATCTTATTTTGAACAGAGTATAGGAAGTATGGTTCCTTATAAATGTTTGTTCAGTGTTAATAAGTATTTTTTAAATGTTATAGGTGATTTATAAATGGTTGGAATATCCTGTGATTTGGTTGAAAGTAGTTTGTTTGTAAAATTTACTCAACCAAGCTGTGAATTATATAATGAATCATCAAACAGGGAGTTACAAAAAGTGGTAGATCTGTGAAAACCAGCCATGTTTTCCCATTTAACATGAAAGTACACATAGACAATAAACAAATGAATGTACATTATTAAAGTCACTCGTCTTATGCTATACAAACAACATAGAAAAACCAAGATTGTTTGATGAAAAAAACTGTAAAATTACAGGATTTTGATATTTTTGTAAATTAATCTTTTATCATTTCAATATTTTTTTACAGGAAAATTATCCTTGGGCGTTCCAGTCAATAGAAATGTAGAAGATATTCGATCATCAAATATTGAGGTACCTAGATAGTACAAAAAGAATTCATTTGCTAGAAAAAAAACCAAAAATATATACCAAATATCAAGTGTTACTTTAATATTTCATGCTCAACAAAAAATCAACAAAATAATGTGGATAACGATAAGTATAGATCTTCAGATACAAGAAATGATAAAAAAGACTGTGCAAGTCCAATTTCATATCATAAGCAACAAGAAATTAATGATAGTTGTGTTCCATACATCCATGATTCACTGAAAATTAGTTTAGTCTTATGATAATGACTCAATTTTAAGCTGAATTATTATTAACATTTTGAAAAGACATAATTTGTTTCGATGTTATATATTAATAAATAATATGTACTAAATGGGTATAACATGTACCTAGAACCACTTTATTAGACTATATAATATTGTTATTTAGAAGGAAGTATGTAACTGTTTAGATTCATTAATTAATGCTTCAGTGTCATTAGTAAGAGATAAAAGTTATTAAAATTTAAAAAAAAAAAAACTTCTCAACTGACATCTGACACAAATTATTACAGCTCACAGTAAAAGTGCCAAAATTTCACCAAATATGGTTGCCCAGGTCAATTCCAAAGTGTACATAAATGTACAATATAGAGTTGAAAATAAACAGTATCATGTGGTGATTGCATTTTATGTTGCAATGTTTGTAGAATATATGCTAATATATGTAAATATTATATATTTTATTTTTTCATACTCAATACTCATGCTTGCGTTTCGACACATTCTAACAGAAATAGTACTAAATTAAAACCAATATTTTCCATTACCTTATGAATTAGCTGTCGATAATTTATTTTTACACAAACCTGAAGCATTGCAAAATGAAAAACTTGCTAAACAGATAGCTATTGCTATCCTCACTTTTTTTTAGATGTAATATGTTACTTCTAATACTATTTTTTAAATGTAGCTCACTACTTTTCTCATTTCTTTTTAAAACTATCCTATTGAAAATTGATAGTTTGTCTTTTTACTTTTGTACTGATTTGATATTTGGTCACCGAGCTGGATCCTAGATAATGGCTGTAATATTTTGCTAAAAGTATTTTTGAATTTTCAACTTTAGCTATATAAATTAAATATTTTATGAGATTTTATCTACAATGTAATTTTGATTTTTACATGATATTTTCAAAATTAATAATTTCAAGTACTTCAAAAAACAATATTGTACCTATGGTGTTTAATATTTAAAAAAAAAAATTCAATTTCAATAATTGCCTTCAAAAAGAGTCATAATACTTTTAAAGTTTCACAATGTTTAGAACATGCAATTATCTTTAGGGTACAATTTCACATATCCACAGTTATTTATTTTGGAATTACAACAAAATTAGACAATCATTTTAAGAGAAAAATAGTCCCAAAATTTTACCTCGTGGACTGAGGTACTCAGCAATTCTCAATATATTCAACTTCATA